TAAAAAACTGTAAAGAAATTATTGTGAAAAATATTAATGTTCCAACGATAGCTGTGTTTCAAGTCCGACAAATAATTGGCGCGCAGTTTATTAAGTTGGAATATATGTATATACGTATATACATTTTAATTCGTTACTTCTGTAACTATTAATTCTCTATTTGCCACGTACCGCGCTTGACTCGTATCATCGTCATTAATTTTTAGAATATAATTAAAAAATATAATTTTTACAAAGAATAAGCATTAATTAGTGAATTTAATATTTACACTACAATTTTGGAATTAAAAGATTGGATTATTTCCTCTATTTTGTATTTTAGATGGTAATTCAGATGTATCTTCAGTCATGATACAGCCAGCAAGCGACACAAATCGACACAAACGTCGTTGTATCTTTCTTTTTTGGCAATGAGTAACAAAGATAAAACGACACTTGTGTCGACTTGTCACTTGCTAGAAAGCTTCCTATATATGTTTTAAAATTTGCCCGTTACTTTAATTTCTGCCCTAGGAAGGAAAGTGACCACTTTCGTCCTTGTTTGGCGGGAGGAAAGTAACAACTTTCCTCCCTGGCGTGAAATTGGCCACTTTCGTCCCTCTCTACAAACATGGAAAGTCGAACTTTCCGTGGAGGTGTTGTGAAAAATTATGTTCAAAGCTTAATAAAGACGTTATCGCTACATACTTATTGTCAAGCTTTTTTGGCACACATTAAAATTTTTAGAAACTCTAATAAAAACACCCTGAGGATATGATATAGAATAGTTTTAGAATATTAAAATACATCATAATTAATTAAATTTTAAAGTATTAATAAACAACGAAAAATGCGGAAAAAGAGAAAGAGATAAAATAAAACTAAAATAAGTTTATTAATGCTTTCAGAATATACACTTTTTAAATATCTTCATGGTTTGCGTATCTTAATAGACTGGAAGACTAGATAAGAAAAAGATATTTATATATTGTACATTGTACATATCTGTGTGAAATAAAAATGCATCATTGTCTGTATAAATATAAAACAGGTATAGGAAATGCTTATTAATGTTGCATATTAATAATTTTTTTAATAAACTGTCAAATTATATGACATTTATAATTTAAAAGATATTAGAAGAGCAGAACATAAAGAAAAAGTTTCTTTGTGATATGCATATAATACTTAGGCTTAAGTATTATAAATATGTAATAATTAATTTGTTGTGTTATCAACTAACATGTCAGAATATCGATTGATGATTATAACATACATTATTTAACATCTATTTGCTATGTACAAAGTCTAAGGAAAAAATTAATTAATCAAAAATTATTGTTATCTGTGTAAATATAGTATAAAAATTAGATGACAAATCGTTATGCATTTGTAATTACAATTACGCGCAAACTGATTTGTCATCCACTATTATTGATTATCATAACTCACGTAAAATCTATTTTTATTGTCTAGCAGAAATTGGCTTTTGATTTCTCACGTGCATATATTACATACATCAAATTTATCGACAAATATTAATAAATGGGGTACTGATAACCAATTGTAAATATTACAATATATTTAAATGCTTTAATAAACTGCTTTAAAAAATTATTATGGTTAATTAACTACTCTATTCTAAGATAATTTTATATGATATACTTATGTATAATATTTTTATACACTTAATTGATAATATTGTACTTTTTTAAATATATTAATAACTAAGGAATAAATGCATTTAGATATCAAGAAATTTGTGAATATTTTATTACTGTATCTATTATCGTTGCAAATTTAAATTTTTATATATTAATTATAATTGCTAAGAAAAAATATTGTTAATTATTTCCGGTTAAATATAAGTCGACATAAGTCGACTTATATTTTAACATGTTCTGGTTGTAAAATATTTTCTATTTTTTTCCAATTTCTGTATTTCAAAATTAAACTTTTTTATCAAGCAATATTTTATTACTCTATTCTATTTTATCATGCATATCTAAAATAAGTAATTTATTCTATCGCTTAATAAAGTTCTGTTGCATGTATGTAAATGAGTAATAAATTTATAAAAATTATATGAAACATAAATAAGACATAAATGTAAATACAATATGAGAAAAACCGGAAATAATAAACAATATTTTTTCTTAGCAATTATTAATATATAAAAATTTAAATTCGCAACGATAATAGATACAGTAGTCAAATATTCACAAACTTCTTGATATCTGAATGCATTTATTCAGGTTATTTGGTTATTAATATATTTTCAAAAGTGCAATTATTAGTTAAGGGTATAAGAATATTATAGATATAAGTATATCATATAAATTTGTTGCCTTTTAAAATATGGATAGGTCAAGATAGAGTAGTAATTTAATTCCTTGAATAATTATTATTCGTCGATTTATTGTATGTGCATACAAAGTTGCATAAAATAAAAAAAGCTATAAAATAGAGTTTATTATAATTGATATAATTGATATAATATATATTATTATTAAATTTGTTTGTTTATTGTACGTTTACATTACATGCAACAGAACTTTATTAAGCGATAGAATAAATTATTTGTTTTAGATATGCATAAATTACTTGATAAAAAAGTTAAAATTTTAAAATGCAGAAATTGGAAAAAATTATAAAATATTTTACAACCAGACCATGTTAAAATTTAAGTCTTATATTTTGATAAATTGTTTCAAACTTAATAAAGATATTTTTACATTTCTTGTCAAGCTTTGTATGCACAGATAGGATTACAAGATTTTTAGCAAATATAAAATTATTTAATTTCGAGATTAAGATTGGATATAATTGAGTGCACTTACCAGTGCGATGCAGTGCGACCAGTAATAGAGTTGTACTCGTATGCAACACTAATCTGTAAAATATAAATATGTTTAAATAAATATCTAAATTAATATTTTAAATTTCAATATTTTACAAAAATAATTATTACATGCATTTATATAATTTCTTATTCTTAATCTCTTTTCATAAATTCTTAATCTTTTGTAGTTTTCTGGCTTTTAATTAAATATTTATTTAAAAAATTACGTAACTTTACACAAAATCTTTTTATATAAAAACTTTAAAAAATTTGATAAATAGAATCTTTAATTCTTGCGTATTTATATTTTAAATAATTATAACTTTTTAAATGGTGTAAAATATTACGTGTATGTTGAATTTTATATAAATACTTTATTAAATATTTTAAGCCTCTCAAATGTAAAAAATATGTAATACATTTTATAAGCTATAATGTTACGTTATATTACTATATAATTAGTGCATGGAATACTCGTTGTAATCATGTGATTCTCGCGAGGAAAACCGTTTAAATTCAGTAACTAATAAAATAAGTAACAAATTGCTCACCTCGTGGTTGCTTCGCAGTCGCTCGACGCCTCCCTGGGCCTCCTCCTCTTTCCTCCGCGGCCGCTCATTTACAGCGCTTGCTAAAACACAATTAACTATTATATGATTGCTGCGTATACGGCACTCCCAACGTCCCGACGTCAATCATTTGCACGACTCAAACTGTATTACATTCGGACGGAAAATCGATGCAGGATTGCAGGAAATGCGTGTGATTTCGCGACAAATCGCCGCGGTGATTAGATTCGCACGTTATAAAGCAGATGAAGCGAGTTAAAGTTATAAGAATAAATATTCGCGGAACGCGATATCCGGAAAATATGAACGTCGCTCTCTTGACTGTTCGCGCGACAGATTCGATCAAACGCATCTCGTAAAATATTTTAAGCAACGTACCGAGCGTCGAATCTACACGTCACGCCAGTGTCAAATATATTAAGACACGATTAAATACGAGACAACTAGGTTCGTCCTGTATGCGCCGTGACGTCACGGCGACGAAAGATTCGAGAGTGACGCTGCTATCTTAACCATGATGCCGCGCGACGAATTTCGGTTAAACGCGCATCTCGCGAAATACTCGTTTTATGAAGTCAGCGATGTACCGGTCGAATCTACGTCGTATGCGCGTCAAATACCGGAGGCACGATTGAGTTCAAGCTTATAATGATTGTGCTTACCGATTAATTAAACGTGCCGCGATTAATAGGCCCGTCCTGTACCCGCGACGTTCCGTTCGCAACGACGAGGGATTGGAGAGTGACGTCACGATGCGCCATCTCTCCCGTGATCCCGCGCGATCGATTTCGGCCGAACGAACGCATCGCGAGAAATATCTTAAGCAATGTATCGAGCTTCGAATCTACACGTCGCGCGGGTGCCAAATACTAAGACACTATTGAATACGGAAGCTCATAAGCGATTGCGCTTACCGATTATAGCGATTATATACGAGCCAAGACGAATAGACCCGTCGTCCTGTACCCGCCGACGCGCGACGTTCCGTTCGCGATGACGAGGAATTAGAGAGTGACGTCACGATGCACCATCTCTCCCGTGATCCCGCGCGATCGATTTCGGCCGAACGAACGCATCGCGAGAAATATTTTTGAGCGATGTACCGAGCGTCGAATCTACGTCGCGCGAGTGTCAAATATTAAGACACGATTGAATATGAAGCTCCCAATAACGATTGCGCTTACCGGTTAAACATGCCACGACGAACGGATCCATGATCCATCCTGTATCCGCTAGACGTTCCGTTCGCGACGACTGGAGATTCGAGAGTGAAGTGAATAGAGTGAGTAGTGACGCCACGCCAACGTCGCCAACTTCATAATGATCCCGCGCGCGACACGACGCGTGCGATCGCCAAGTTCGAATGCCGAATCTATATACACGATAGTTAAATGTTATTATTACAAAGAATTGATGCAGGTTTTTCTTACTAATTAAATGAATTGTGACGCCAGTTTTCCCGAAATCAATTTGTTTCCGTGTCTATCACGTTTTTCTAATAATGACGAAATATTTGAATATGCAACTTTGGTACGTGACACTACGTGAGTCAAATGGATGGCTAATAAAAACGTACAGTTGATCAACTAAAATTATGCAATTGAATTTTATTATTGCATGTACGGTGTACAGTAATTGAACTTATTAATATTGCAAAAATATATTATGTAAAATTACACAACACGAAAATCATAAGCGCAGCACGGACACGCACCAAGGGGAGAGACTTTATCGACAGTGCCAGAAAATGGATATGCCAAATAGTTCCAACGTTGAAAATGGGTGCGAGTGGCGTTTCGAGCGGTCCATTGTCCAATATAAAACATCATTTCAGGTTAGGTCCCCGTGGTCCAGCAGACAGATATCCACGTAAACACATGAGTCAGTGCAACCATACGTACAAGTGAATGCAGAATGAAAATATAGAGCTGCAGTAAAAACGCTTTCTTATCTCGTTTAAATTTAATATTAATTATCGCCTAATTCTCTTTTCTACCTATTTCTACCTCGACGAGACCAGAAAAATGACGGATGAGCGGAACTTTCGTTCGCAGTATTACGAAAAGGTAAAATTCATCCAAGATCCATTTGTTCTTCGAATCGAAGCGACAATTATATACTGCTATATATTCATCGTCAGATTGCTACGTGATTAGAATATAATTTCTTTTAAATGACAGGTGGGATTTCGCAGCGTCGAAGAAAAGAAGTCTCTGGAGATATTATTGAAGGAACGCCCAATTGACAAGACAAAGCTGAAGCAGTTTTGCTTAAGATTCACCGTACCCGCTATGTATAGAAATTTCCTCTGGAAAGTCTTACTCGACGTTGTACCAGTTTACGCAGAGAGTCAGGGGTTTATAATGGCCCAGCGTAAGGCGGAATTTCAGGATTTGCAGAGAGCACTGAGAGTCACCAAGGTCATAAACGACTTTACAAAGCCTCATCTAATATTCTTAGCGATGTGGCTGTTACGTAAAAGAAGAGCAAAAGTTGATATGACCGCTCAATTGGAAACTCCGTTATACAGGTTCATTGCATTATTCAATATATTGTTGCATACTTTTAAACTCAAATTCAATTTTTTTAAGTTTTAATATTGAGATCCAGAATTTTTTCGATAGCTTTTCTCTGTATATCTTGAAGGACGCATTGGCTTTGTAAATTCATAGATACTTTGTATGATAGCCAAAATTATTATATTGTAACAGAATTTTGTCTATTCCAGAGCTATGAGCAAAATGGCCGAGACCCTGTGGCATGTGATTGATGTTGAATCGGAAGAAGAGAAGCTAGTGGACATATATTGGATATTATCCGGATTTTTTGTGCAAGTTGAAAAGCTGCAGAAAGAAGTTGGGAAATTGCAAGACTGTACATACGCACTATTGGAAAAAGAAGACGTAGAATTATACAAGCATCTCGTTAAAATTGATGCACTTTACAATCTTCCATACGATGCGTGGTTTTATTCGTGTTTTGCTGGCATAATAAGTAATGGATCTATTGCTAAGTATGAATGATTAATGTGTTGTCATAAAAACTGCAATTGTATTGCAACTTTATTAGTGATTTTTGATACTGGTAATAGCACATACTTGTAGAATTACTAAAATATTTATTTGTTACAGGATATGGGATAAAATAACTGTCGGAGCATATCGAATTTTAATATTCGTTGCCGTTGTTACATTAACCACTTTGAGACGTCTATTATTAAGATGTGAAAGCACGGATCATATATTAGATACCATTAGTAATGTAGGACTCCTGGTTAAATTATAATACTCTAATATAATGTGATGGGTATGTTTTCCCAGATTTTACATTTTATTTTAGATAACGGAGGAAACGTCGGAGGTGATAGTCAATAAAGCAATTGAATCAATGCAACAAAGCGGAACAACTCAACAAGTTGATTATTTCACAAAACATAATTAATATTTTATACCACATAATATAAAAATGTATTATATTCTATATATATTATATATATTATGCGACGAAGGTATAACCGATATTAAGATTGCTCCTAGTTTTTCGAATTTGTCTCACATTTAAATGCTATAGAAAACGGAAACTGATTTTTATCATCACTCATAATAACTTTAATACGTGGGCATTATACCTCTGTGAAACTGGCACTGGATCTATAATAAATTAAGGAATTGAAATTAATAATTAATTCTAATTTTAAAAATGTAAGTATTTTTGTAATTAGTTGTAGTAACGATAATTTTATTTGTAGCCCCAACTATTGAAAGATATATATATATATATATAATTATTAGAAATATTTTAATTTAATTTAATTCAATTTACTATATAATTTAATTTAATTTAATTTTTTCTTATTTAAAAAAAATAATCGTTACTTAATTTTGAAATAAAAAAAAATTGTTGATTCAGAATCGTTTGTAAATCACAAAATTATCCCGTCTTTTCTACTTACGTTAATTCGTGAAATCTTCCGTGTGCTTCTATCATGTCTATACGTAGATATGAGAGCGGTTATTACTGTTATTATCAGCGATAATATGTGCGACAAGGACACTCAGTCGGTGAGAAAGCAATAAGACTACTTGTATTGCGTACATGTAGTAAGAGGCATGTAGTGATGGTATCCTTCGACTCGAACGATTGAGATAAATAAAACTTGACCTAAAGCACGAGGAACTCAATCATTTACCAGTCTGACTAGTCGTTGGGGTCCGCTTGTGTCGATATTCGATCAGTGACTGCTGGACTGATTGAATTGCAGCCTTTGTAAGAGTATAGTAGAATTTATACGTTCGTTAACTTATTAATGTTATAATTGGGGAAAAGTTTATTGAGAAGGAATTATTTTAGTAAATAACACTTGTTTTCAAGCTTTTAATATTTAATCTTTAGTTGGTGCGCTATTAATTATCTTAATAATTTAATGTATAAAATAGAAACAAATACGATTTAATTAAATTGTATAATTATGGCTTTTAGCGGATTAAGAGATTATGGATCAACAAATAATTCGATATTAGAATATCTAAAAGATACTTTGATTGTAAAATTGCACGTAGTATCTGTGTATAATATAATTATATTATATGCATGAATTAATTTAAAAGTTAAAATTAATTCATAATTTTAAAGTTTGGTCGGTAGAAGAAGTGATCACGCTAATCACTGATAATTTTGTACGCGAATCTCGACCAAATATCGAAATTAATATTTCAGAATTAATGGAACAGTTGCGTTCTGACAAACTTTCACTTCATTATAATTCGCAGAGTAGCAGCTGTCGCGAAAACTGTATTTTCAATTTACAGTGGCCCACTTACAATTAGTTCACAGTTCAAAGAGTTTCCAACATCAAGTTTCTCGGTCGTGGTTAGTATACCGCCGTCTTAATTAACAAAGAAGTAAAAATCTAAACGATGGAGCCAATAACGAGAATGGCATTGCTAAATATCAAAAGATCAGCAAGAACGTTGTCTCAGGTAATATAGCATTTTATCATAATTTTAGGATAATCGTATGTATATGTACATAAGTTGGAAATACTATTACATTAAGTTACGTCTTTAAAATAATCTTACCTAATTTATTTACTTATAATCAACTTTTTTATTATTATTAAAACATTTGAAAGAGAATATTTGAAGCACTTTAGATCGAGATTAACTTAAACATTTCTTCTTTTTTAGCGCATTCAATGTCACAGAACGCTTACGTCTCAACAAGTGTTCGATCGAGAATCTAAATATGGTGCTCACAATTATCATCCACTCCCCGTGGCTCTGTGCAGAGCTCAGGGTGTCTTTATGTGGGACGTCGAGGAGAAACGATACTTTGATTTTCTAAGCGCTTATTCGGCAGTTAATCAAGGCCATTGCCATCCCAGAATCTATAAAGCAATGGTCGATCAAGCGAAAATTTTAACTCTGACGTCCAGAGCGTTTTATTCTAATATTTTGGGTGAATTCGAAGAATATATCACGAAACTTTTCAGGTAAACTTTTCAAAGTGTTACCTTTGAGACCCAAGCTTATCGATAAGATAAACGATGACGTAACGAAATCTAAATAAGAGATCAACGAAAGTAGAAGATAAGTGTATATACATGGTGTTACGTTATTTCGGAAATCTAATATTTAACATTTCAGAAGATACACGATTTGGAGTATATAATTAGATTATAATTTAAACAAAGATCCGGATTAAAATAATCCTTCAAAAAAGAATTTTATTCTTTCAGATATGACAAATGGCTGCCGATGAACACAGGCGTGGAAGGTGGTGAAACGGCATGCAAATTGGCACGCAGATGGGGATACTCGTGCAAGGGCATACCGAAGAATCAGGCCAAGATAGTGTTTGCGGAGGGCAACTTCTGGGGAAGAACTTTGAGCGCTGTCTCCTCAAGCACCGATCCAAGTAGCTACAGCGGTTTCGGACCGTTTATGCCGGGCTTCGAGCTCGTGCCCTATGATGATCTTCCGGCACTTGAACGGGCTCTCGCCGATCCAAATGTCTGTGCTTTCATGGTGGAACCTATCCAAGGTGAAGCTGGCGTTGTAGTTCCCAAGGTAAGCTTTCACATGCAAATGTTTAAGCATGAAGGAAGCCACCTTCGATTTTTTATCCTTAAAATTGTCTCTGTTCCTCGAAAAGGACGGATATCTGAAAGGAATTCGAGAGCTTTGCACGAAGAACAATGTCTTGTGGATTGCGGATGAGGTGCAGACCGGCCTGGCGAGAACGGGGAGGCGGCTCGCGGTGGATTACGAAAACGTGAAGCCGGATATTTTGATTCTCGGTAAAGCCCTGTCCGGAGGATTCTATCCCGTTTCCGGTGTACTAGCAAACGACCCCGTTATGCTCACAATCAAGCCTGGCGAGCATGGGTCAACTTATGGTGGTAATCCTCTGGGATGCAGAATCGCCCTCGAGGCGCTTCGAGTTCTGGAGGAAGAGAAACTTGCCGAGAATGCGGAGAGGCTCGGTCATGTGCTCAGAGACGAGCTTAGCAAGCTGCCGAAAGAGATAGTCACTTTAGTGAGGGGAAAAGGCCTCTTGAACGCTGTCGTCATTAATGAAAAAATCGACGCCATGGATATCTGCTTGAAGCTGAAGGAACGCGGGCTCCTGGCGAAACCGACGCACGGACACATCATTCGTCTGGCACCGCCGTTAATTATCACGGAGGAACAGATACGCGAGTGCGCGGATATCATTTCTAAGACTATTCTCACGTATAACTAACGGACACCTGTTGTATATCATTTATGTGTTATTTTAATTTTAATGTGTTACCGTTAATATGCAAGTGAATTGATAGCGCTTCACGCGGCACAAAAAATAAGCAGGACATTATTTAATATTGAAGCAGACACAAGGAGAACATGATGGGAAATAACATATCGCAACATGATTCAGTCCGACTCGAATACGGTTCATTTCGAAATCTACGTAACTGATGTTAGCTCGCCATCCTGAAATCGATTTTCACTTGTCTTTTTAGATATTGACTATTTATTTTCAAATAGCAAAATCTGTTAGCAGAACATGATGGTAGAAACCGAAGAGAATGACAGATTTGTCATTTAATAACCATTTAATTAAATAATATATTGTGTATATAAATACATATTTTTTATAAGTATTAAAATAATATATTCCATTTAAATGATTATGAAATGAGAAGTTCTGCTCGATTTCTACTAATAATTTGCTGTCAGATTATATCGACATGCTTTGCTGGCAAAACACGAATTACGTAGTTCCAGCTGACGCTATTCTGCTCGAATCTGCTGGCAAACTGTTAGCATACTGCTAATATTTTGCTGACTAAAAAATAGAACCGATATCTCGATCGACAGATCTATCAAGCGCGTAATGATGCTAATAATAAATACTACACTCCACACTTTATAAAATTAAGTACTATATTACTTATATTGTTCGAATAAAATGCGAATTACGATTACGTTGTGAAAATGCTAACAATGTGATTTATTGATATTCTATACCCACATAATTTTCTTAATCTACCCAATATGCGCATTTTGTATATAATTTTATTTTAAAAATGTGCAATGTGTCCATTGTTATTTTTATCTTGACAATATTTGTGCAGTAAAGTTAATCCATATCGCATATATGGTATATCGAAAAAGTTCATCATTTTTGACAGATCGGAATTTTATCAAGCAACACATACAAGAGACAAGAGGTTGAATCGGTCATGAGTGCATTGACGTATATCAAATTATTAATATTTTTCATAAAACAGTCGAACGTTGCAAACGAACACAATTATCGTCGCTTATAATGACTACAATGTTCTATTTCGTAAAGAAAGTCCGAATAATCCACTTTGTATGTAATCGTATTATTATCTCGAGCAAAAATGTAATTAACGTAACAAATGAGTTATTCATTTCAAGTTATTAATAACTTCGTACGATAACATTCTCTACGCAAATAATGATGTATTCCTAGTGCAACGACGCGAGAGATAATATGTATCGAAAAACATATAGGCATGGCTTGCAATCAGTAAATTCCCAAGTAATAATATAAGATTATTATTTTGATTAATTGATTATATCGCAAAATTATTCAGATTATACATTTTAATAGACTTTGATTTATCGTCTAAAGTCTCTTATTAAAATGTATAAATAATCTTTAATTTTCTACAGCATTATTTTCTTAATATTTACGTTAGACTTAATTCTTTCCTGTGTTATATGAACACTGTCAAATTTCCAACAAAGTTAAAGAACCTGAAAATTATATTATCAATAAAAGAGTTTAAATTCAAATCAAATGCAAAACAATCATAATTTTCTTTTGTTGTTTTTTCGATTTCCTCTTAATGGACTTAATGTAAAAATGCCTTAGATTGTATTGTTTATCGTGATTCGTTTACTTCGGCGTACTGGCGCCTTTACTCTGAACTTTTTATCAGATATGGTTCTGTATGAAGACATTTATTTTAAATCCCTCTGTCGCAATGCTTATATGTATACACGATTCCAGTAAATAAGTAATCATATCCCGCCGTATCTTTTGTCATATCTTCTTTACCCTGATATAAAAGCAAGATTGGCAGAATCGCCATCAGATGCTTATTTTCTGACGACTTGCACTCTTACTCGTAAACTTAACTTGTATACTTAACAAAAAGGAGGTTTGTAAATGCAACACTCGGCGATATTGCAGCAACATTACAACATTCCAACTATTTGCAGGGTGAGGAGAAAAACATGGCTTTGCAATCTATGAGACAGAGATTCTTCAGCATCGTAAGAGAAACGGAAAAGAGAAGATTCCTGAGTTCCCAGCAAGTGATCGATCGCGACAACAAGTACGGCGGTATACACTTTAAACCGCTGCCAGTTGTTCTTTCTCGCGGGGAAGGATGCTACCTGTGGGATATCGATGGAAAACGATATCTTGATTTCTTGGCAGGATTCTCTACCGTCAATCAGGGCCACTGTCATCCGCGTCTGGTGAAAGTGATGAGAGATCAGGCCGGGAAGCTGGCGCACACGTCAAGAGCCTTCTACTCGGAACCTCACGGCGAATTTGGAGAATATCTGACAAAACTCCTGGGATGGGATCGGTTTTTACCTATGAACACAGGTGCGGACTTTAAACAAGAATTGGGATACTTTTTTTTCTAAAAAAATTAGTTTTAGTATCTCAATAATTATCACGGAAAGATTTTAATACTGCTTGCGATAAGCAAAAGCTTCTTCATTGTAGAAGACCAAAAGAGTTGGAGCGTTTATTCCTTCCTTTTCGTAGGTGTCGAAGGTGGTGACACGGCCATAAAAATGGCCAGACGCTGGGGATATAGAATTAAAAAAGTGCCGAGCGGCAAGGCCACCGTTGTGTTCGCCAACGGAAACTTCTGGGGCCGTTCAATAGCGGCGTTATCGGCTTCGACGGATCCAAATTGCTACACGGACTTTGGTCCTTACGTGCCCCTTTTCGAAAAGGTGCCGTACAACGACCTGGTAGCTCTGGAACAAAAGTTTCAGGAGAATCCCAATATCTGCGCGTTCATGATGGAACCCATTCAGGGAGAAGCTGGCGTCGTTATACCGGCTGTGAGTTAATACGAAAACACACGGCATTATAAATATTAATGCGAGTATTACTGAGAAATTATTTTTAAGCTGCTTTTTACTGCAGAAAATCACGTAGAGTGCCTTCTGCCTTCATGTTGATATTGGAATATTAGTGAGATCGTTATCTTTTTGCCAATAGCAATTCATTTTTTTTTTTTTTTACTTTTTTTCATTCAGGATGGTTATCTGAAACGTGTAAGAGAACTATGCACGAAATACAACGTTCTATGGATTGCCGACGAAGTGCAAACTGGTCTTTGCAGAACTGGCATGCGTTTGGCGGTTGATCACGAAGGCTGCAGACCGGATATTCTTATCTTGGGAAAAGCCCTCTCCGGTGGCATGTATCCGGTTTCCGGTGTCTTGGCGGACGATCAGGTATCCGAAAAAGTTTCATCGTAATCATTAAAATAATATTCAATATATTAGCTCTATTTTGGGCGTTCCTTAATTTAATACTAGTTCCATGAAAATTAAATTTATGCGATTTTATAAAATGTAAAATATTTTAATAACCATTATCGTGACAACACGTTCCTATTATAAAACGTTGAATTGTTGTTGAACTTTCAAGCAGGCGATAATGCGGTATCTGCCGTTACGTATCTCGAAAGAAAGCGATGTTAATCACTCATTTGGCGCGATAAGGATCTTTAATTCAGACTGATTGTTTCTTTCCAGATAATGCTCTGTCTGGAAACAGGTTCACATGGAAGTACCTTCGGTGGGAGTCCACTTGGGAACCGGGTTGCTTTGGAGGCGGTTAAAATTCTGGAGGAGGAGAATTTGGCAGAGAATGCGAAGAAGCTCGGAAAAATTCTGAAGGAAGAACTCGAAAAGCTGCCGAAGGACATCGCCACGGAATTCCGTGGGCGCGGTCTTCTCGCCGGTCTTGTGATAAACAAAGGTTCAACGATCACGAACAAATCAATAATTCAGTTATATCGCTGATAAATTGTCGTCAAATTAAAAATTCATTGCGCGATATGAGTGAAGATAACATATTTGTTGATCACGTAAAATTAAAATCATATCTCGCAAACTATGATTTTATCCAATGATAATATATCGAATAACATCCTTCGATATTGTTTTTTTAACAAGAAATATTGAATTTTATTACGATACATTCAAGGTGGCTTTTACTTACAGAATTCGCCGAGGGTTGGGACATCTGTTTAAAGCTGAGAGACGCTGGATTGTTGTCGAGACCCGCACATGGTCAAATCATCAGAATATCGCCCCCGTTAACGATTACGGAAGAACAATTACGAGAAGGATTGAACATTCTCACTACGGTCCTCAAAAGTTACAAATAAAGGATTTAAAATTTCGCATTGCACCAAGATTGTATAATAAACAATTTTTTACGACAAAATAGGATTACCTTTTGTTATCGTATTACTCCAGTCATTCCAAAAAGCGCATTTAAGATTTCAGACCTTAGGTCTTCAAAATTCTTAGGATTTCTTAAGAAAACATGAAGACAATAGTTAAGAGAATAAAAAAATAATTACAATCACGCACGAAGGAAAATCTTATCCTCTTCTAATAATTATAAAACATGCATTCACAATGGCCATTCACATGTTTCATATGTACATAAACTACAATTATATAAATTAGATATGTGATTCGTTATGCTTCTTTAAGTGTCTCGTCAGACTAAAGGACTGCGAAAACATTTGGTTACACTGATTGCACTTATAAGTCTTCGAACCAGTATGTAAATTTAAATGCCGTTTCAAATGATTGGCCAGCTTGAATCTCTTTCCGCATAATCGGCATTGGTGTTGCCTCAACGTGCCGTGCGAGGCTTCGTGACTTTTAAGATGACTCGATTGCGCGAATCTCTTGCCGCACAGCTTACACGCGAAAGGTTTCACTTTAGTGTGAATTCGCAAATGCTCGACCAGATTACCCTTCTGCACGAAACGTTTGTCGCAATACTCGCATTTGTGCACCCTCGACGTCTTGTGCGTTCGCAAGTGCATTTTTAGATTATAATTATGGCTAAATTTTTTATCACAAATTTCGCATTGCACCAAACCCCTTCCAGTATGTAGTCTTTCGTGAGCTTTCAAATTTTTTAAAAGCCGGAAACGCTTGTTACAGGTGTTACATTCGTAGTCCTTGCTCTGCGATGTATCATCACTTTTATTGTGGACCTTTATATGCTCCTCCAAGTACGACGGATAGGAAAATATTTTATCGCACACCTTACACTGATGTACGTTGGTTTTGGTGTGTAGTCTCATATGCGCGCTGAGTTTACTCTTCGATGCGTAACTTTTGCCACAGCTCAGACATTTAAATGGTTGCTGGCCAGTGTGAGACAATTGATGAGCAAATAATTTTGACTTTTGCGAAAATTGTCTCGAGCATATCTCACACTGATGCTTCTTAGCGTGGATATCTTCCGCAGCTTTTATATCGAGAGGTTGCTTGTAATTGTCGTCGCTCGGACATCCGTGATATTCAATCGCGAGTTGCCGGTCTTTCCCGGGCGATTTTATAAATCTCAAGTTTTCGGCGATCGATACATCGTTCTCGGAGTGTATCGTTACATTCTGCATGCGTTCCGAGCTGCTTTCCTGGACGCCGTCGAGATCAATATTTTCTGGAAAGTTTATGTTCTGCATCCCGTCGGTGTCGTCCACGGTGGATCTCTGATAAGACAAGTTCTGAATAGGATTATCAACGGAATGAATGGATCTTTCGTAGCTCAAGTTTTGCGGGATATGATTCGAATTTTCACAAATCTCTATGTTTTCATTGTCGCACGACATATCGACGCTCTCCGTGCTGTGCGTAATATTATGACTTATCAACTGTCTTCTATTGGTAAAAGTGTGATTGCACAGAGAGCAATGTAAGGCACAGGCAGGTCGACTCGAACTTTCTTCGTTCATTGACATAGGATGCATCGTATTTGGTCTGACTAGGGGAGATAATTGCGTATTTGGCATACCATCGTTCGCGAAGCTCGAACTGACGTGAGTAAAATTAAGATACGGATTCTGGGACTCCACGATGTGCATATGTTGCATGGGTATGTTATCCTGAACGAAGGGCAAGTGTAGTCGATTATGGGCACAGAGCTCTTGATAACTCATAAACCCAGCGCCGCATTCCACGCATTTCAGGGTCCTGTGAGAATTCGGTACGGGCACGAATCCCTGACTCTGTTGATTCTGATAGAGCTTGCAGCCAGGGACGGTGGTGTACGACGTCAACCTGGATACCTGTATTTCGAACATATTCCTGACATTAGCGGTACGTGGGTTAGGGCGCGGTTAGGGCGCGAGAACGTAAAGTTCCTTTACCTTCAACGCTGCCTGCCTCAAAGCCCTGTCGGCGGCGCGACACTGCTCTCGATACAAAAGGGCCGACTCCGCCCTGGTGACACAACGGTCGCACATCTTTTCAGGCAAGCCGTCTCCCTGCCAGACCTACGAGTATCCACACGAAACGCAAACTTAATCTCCCTATAAATTAACGTTAAATTCGTGGTAAGAAAAATGCGTTGCTTACCTCCAAACAAGAGAGAGATCGCAGTTTAGCAGCGAGCGAGGAACCGGCTGGTCCCACGAACAAACATACCATCTTGTCGCCGTCTTCCCGCAAGCACGTACGGCACAATTTGCCGATGTTCTCACTGTCGATCTCCTTCGTGACTATAAACATCTCTCCGTCGTTTGATAAACCGAAAACGTTCCGATTTTTTTTTCCGGTTTCGATTCTTTCTTCTCAAAGGATTAGATACCTTCGGTTTGTCGCTCGAATTCTCTCGATGCGTTACCTCTCTCGTATATTTCATTCGTTCTTCTCATCAGTCATGTTCTTATTGTTCTCCGAAATCTCCGCGTTGTTATTTTGACGTTTTCGCGTCGTCCATGTCTGTCTCCATGCGGCTCGTCGGCTGTCAAATTTCGTTCCGTCTACTGCTCACGCAAGATGTCACTACCGTGTCGCGAAACGTCGCTCTTGCGTTCAAAAACTCATCAATAAGCGTACTTATAATGGCCGCGTTCAGCAGACACAACTGTTGAGTTCGTCTTGTCAACACTCTGCGTTGATTGGTTGGTTCTAAAAGTAAGAGCCAATCACGTTCGACTCATTCGACTGCTACTCAGCAGCTTGGTCTGCTGAACGCTAGAGACCCTCTACTGAACGCGCCCATTGGCGCCGGGGTGAAAGAGGGAAAATATGGAAAGCGCGACAAGCGCCACAAGCGACAAAGAGCGAATCTCATGTAACAGTGCGACCGTGTTTATTGTATACAAACGTTATAATAGCAAGATATTTTTTTTTTATTTATGAATGTTTATTGTGCCAAAATACATAACTAGGTTAATAGCAAGATATTTTAAACAATTATATGTATTTATATAGATTAAACATGCCTCATGGCGTTAATTAAATACCACGGACGAAGCTGACCGCGTGCAGAATTCACGTGTACGCAATGAGTAGATTAAAAGAAACTCAAATTGC